CTGCGGTGCTGTGTGAGGGCAGAGTGCAAGCGGGGCTGCCGCCCCCACCAGCCAGCCTGGGCACTCCCAGATATTGCTTGGGCAGGGCGGAGCCTGTGGGCAGAGCCCAGGGCTGGCATAGGCCTCTCATGGCAGTGCATTGCATGGGGAAGTTAGCCGGTGACCACATGGAGGATTTTCTTGTTTTTCCTTGTTTTCCAATGGTTTGCATGCAGGGGGGGTGGGACTCAGTTTCCCTGGGTGTTACTGGTTTAATGAGGTGATGGGAGAGGGAGTTTGTTATTACAGAGGACCAGCGAGGGAACTTGGGACACCAGCCAATGGCCTGGAGAAGGGAGACCCCAGTGACTGGTGACCGGGAGGCCCAGTGCAGGAGTCGCAGCCAGGTCTGGCCAGCGGGAGGACAATGGGCTGCGGAGAGAAGACCCCAGTGACCTGACCAGCCAGTGCCAGCCATAGGGGCCAGAGGACAGAAGAGAAGAGAGGGGCCCAGGCGACCCTGTTTACCTGGAGAAAAGACAATGGACAGAGGCCAGGCTTGGGGCCGAGATATCAGATGCCCAGCTGGGAAGCAGGGGGGCTCTGGGCTGGCAAGAGGGAGCAGGCAGAGCCCACGTGGATGCAGGGGAGACTTGGATGTGCTGTGCTGAGGGAGGCCAGGCCTGAGGGCCCTGAGAGTTTCCTATGCTGGGGTCAGATGCTCAATAAACCCTCCTGTGTTATGTTGGCTGAGAGTCGCTCCAGTCTAGAGAACAGGGTGGCATTATTCCCTCTGGGAGTGGAGGCCCCGGGGGTCCAGAGCGAGTGGATTCCCTGCGGGGGCCCATGGCAGAGACAGGTGTGCTAAGCCTCAGAGAGGTTGGGGATTGGTCCTGCTTTGAGCAGGGGGTTGGACTAGATACCTCCTGAGGTCCCTTCCAAGCCTGTGATTCTATGGGGTGTGGCTCCAGGAGGTGGAGAGGCTTAACTCCCAAGAGAGAGTCAACCCTCGAGAAGGGCTGTCTCACTGAAGACCACACGGGGCCAAGAGTGGGCACAATCTGTGAGTCTGTGACAACGTGGTAGCAGAGGATGGCTCGTGGATGCGCCCTGTAGACAGTTGGCTGCAAGTGTAGGCACGTGGCAGTGAGCGGCAGCCAGCAATAAAACGAGGGAATTGAAAGGAACCAGCGTGGAAATGTCCTAGAACCAGCTCCATACGAGGGACCTGGCACGTCTGTGCAGGGAGAGAGGGCTCAGCGTGGGGAGGCTCACTAAAGAGCAGCTGATGGCTCAGCTTGTAGAGAACGATCAGTCTGAGGAACAGGCTCCAGACCCCAGGGGGGCTCCCGGTGTGCCCGGAGAGCCGGGGAGTAGCTGGGGGGGCAGTCTGGGTAGCAACCGGGAGTGTATCAGACCTGACTCCCCAGTCAGCACAGGCGGGCCCCAGTCAGGGTCCCCACTAGTGGAGCTGGAGGAGCTGGATCTGGAGGAGCAGAGACGGGCGGACAGGGAGAGAGAACGAGAGGACCCTGCAGAACAGTGGAAGCATGAGTTGGAGTTGGAGGAGCAGCGGGCCAAGAGGGCCTGCCGGGGGTAAGTGGGGAAAGGCCCCGAGATGCCAGTGTTGTGGGGAATCTAGACACCAAACTGCTGCCCAGTTCAAGGAGGGGGGTGGGAGATATTGATGCCTATCTCACAGCCTTTGAGAAGGCTTGTGATCTGAACCAGACTGACCCTGCAGATAGGCTCCACTTTCTGACCCCCAGGCTGGGTCCCAAGGCCATAGAGGCATTCAGCCAAATGGATGGTATTGAGACGGGGGACTATGACCTGTTCAAACAGGCTTTGCTGCTGAACATCCCCAGACACACCCCCTCTATCTATCTATCTCTCCATCCATCTCTCCATCCCCAGACACACCCCGTCTATCTATCTATCATTTGAACTGACCCCCGAGGCATACGGGAAACGATTCCAAGGTGTGCGCAAGACCTCAGGTGTCACTTACAAGGAGGTCGCCCACCTGCTGGGGGAATATCTCCGCAAGTGGGGGAAGGGCGCAGGGGCCTCGACCGCAGGGGACGTGTATCACCTGGTGGGGTTGGAGATGCTGTAGGACATCTGCCCTCCAGACCGTAAGACGCGTTTAGCGAACCAGAAGCCCAAAGATCTGCGCAGTGCAGGGGCCCTGGCAGATGAGTTTGTGGAAGCAGCTCGGAGGCAGGAGGGAGACCCGCATCGGGGACTCAGAAGGGGAGTCACCCAGAGACCTCTCAAAGGTGGGACTCCAGGAAGCCCAACCCAGGGGTGCCTGGGAATGCCGGGGCAGGCCGACCCCCCTCATGGGACTTGAGGGATCTGAAATGTAATTACTGTGGCCAAAAGGGACACAAGGTGGTGCCAGGCCTAAAGATGAAGGAAATGGCAGCCAAGCAGAACCCGCGGGGTGTCAACTGGGTGGGAGCCCACCGAGAGGGGGCACCGCTGGGCCTGGGGGCCGCAGTCCAGAGGGCTGTGCCAGGGTGAAGGGACCACCAGGCCAGGCCCGTGGGGGAAGGCGGGGCCTCAGGTCCAGAGCACCAGTACTCAATCCGCCGGGTGAGTGTGGGACAGGCCCCGGGGGACGATCCCCACATCATCCCCATTGAGGTGGGGGAAAGAAGCGTCCGGGGTTCTGGGACCCGGGTGCAGAGGTGATGCTGGCGTGGTCCGAGGTGGTGGGCTCAGACCAGCTAGTGCCCAATGCCTACATGACCCTTAGTCCGTGACATAGCCCAGCGCTAATAGCTCCTTCTGCTCCAGCAGGAACAGCCCTCGTACCACGACATCGGCGCGCAGCCTCGGATTCACGCCCTCGGCCTCCTTCCAGCAGCTCCACGCAGACCCGTCGGTGCAGCAGAGACCAGCCACGGTGAGGCCTGGGGCCTGTGCTATGGGAAATGGCAGTGCCAGGGCGGGCACCAGGGTCACTAATGTTCAACTTGCTATGTGTCCACTCAGTCCCGCCCGCCTCCCGGGCATTCACTGAGCTGGTCCCAGGATTGCAAGGGTTAGATCCAGCCAACTATTTGCCAGGGCCCCATGCCACCTCCACTGTGGGGAGCCTGCATGGGGCTGCTCAGCCTGGCTACAGGGCAGTGCCAAGGGCAGGCTGCAAGGGGAGCCAGACCCAGGCCTCGTAAAGAGATACAGGGGCTCTGTGGGGCTCAGCCCACCCGGTGGATCCCCCTCGGCTTCCCGCTTCGCCCACCATGCCTGACTCCCTGCCCTGCCCACACAGCTGGAGCCTCTCACCGCAGCAGTGTCCCGGGCACACAGGGGCGAGCGGAGAATCAAGCCTGGTGCCTGGAAGACCTTCGGCAGGGATCCGGGTGTTATCCCACCAGCCCTTAGTGGCTGGCGAGGTGAATTGGAGGGTTCTGTCTGGGAGCAGTCTGCGGCCAGGCCCTGCGTGCCGGGAGCCCCTGCAGGTCCCTGGGGCTGGCTAGAGCCGGGCAAGATCCATGGCCCAGAACCTTGCACTGGAAGAGCCACCGTTCGAACGCCCGGCCTGTCCCCTTTCCCCGGCTCCTGGGATGTTCCCCCACCTCCCTGGGCTCTTTGCCCTCAGCCCTGGGCCTGGCGCAGAGAGGAGCTCCGTGGTCACTGCTGGCAGCCCCAGACTGGCTCAGTGTGTACAGGGCCCCAGCAAGGGACAGAGCCACACTGAGCGGGGATGAGGGTGGCTCTGCAAGGCCCCCCTCCACCCCAGCAGGTTCTTTCTCCTGCCATCCCATCCGTGCACCAGGGCTGGGGCGTCACCCTCCTTTCCTTCCAGTGCGCCAGGCATGGCTGTCGGTGGCCGACTCTGCTCTGTGCAGTTGTGCGCCTCTGGCAATGGGACAGTGCGTCCCTCGTGCCCCCTCCTCCGCAGCCTGCAAGGTCCCATCCCCCCACCCCCGGCTTGGCCAGGCGTGCTGCAGCTCTAACCCATGAGCTGTGGCTTGCAGCTTCTCTCCAGGCCAGGAAGCATCTGACCTCAGCCCCTCAGAGAAGAGATCTGTGAAGGGACGGGAGAGGCCCTGTGTGGAGGCAGGGGGAAGCAGAAAGAGGCTTTGCCTTTAAAAATAACCCCGGTATAAATCCCATAATAGCTCCTCAGAGCGAGGTGTGGTAGAGCCCGTGGGGGTGGGACGGGGCCCTCAGCTGCACTGGCGTGTGACACACTCAGCTCACCGGGCCCTCAGCTGGGTCACCCTGTGCCCAAACAATCCGCAGCTGCAGGGGCTTCTGGGCAAGCTCAGGAGTGCTGAGTCTTCCCCCCGAGCTCTTAGACCAGCAGACTGCACCTCTAGACCTCCAGCATCCGATGCAGTGAGCTGGAGCTCACGAAAGCTTCTGCTCCAATAAACTGGTTAGTCTCTAAGGTGCCACAAGTCCTCCTGTTCTTCTTGCGGCTACAGACCAACACGGCTGCTCCTCTGAAACCACCCCTAGACCCTGCACTGGTGCAGATGGTCTCTGGCGCCTCCCAGCGGCTGTGTGTGGAAGTGCAGGGCCACAATGGCAGCGTTTCCCACCCGCTTGGGGTGAAGGGCTGCCAGGGACTGTCAGCCCCAGGGTGTGGGGGCCAGAAGAGGCCCGGGCCCAGTGCAGGCCCTACCTGGCGCCAGGGATCTGCCCCCCGGCACTGAGCAAGTCTCGCCACCTGCCCTGACTCCAGCCCCAGAAGTTCAACGCTTTTCCGCAGGGCCAAGGTCCCTGTGCAGGGCCAGGCGCCACGGCGGAGCCAATACGATTCCACACCCCGCTCGCCCTCTCTCGGTGCGCCAGAGGGGGCTGCCCCACATGCTGACCATAGGAATGGGGCAGGGTGCTGATCTGAGCCCCTGGGGGGTCCTGGGCCGTAATGAATGAACGAATGGGGCCCCGCTCCCCAGCACCGAGCCTTGCCCTGTCAGTGCAGGACCTGCCCCAGTGTGGGAGGGGAGGCCCCTGTGGCCGTCCGGAGGGCAGTGTGGCTATTGACCCTGCAAGTGTCGTGGCTACAGTCTCTTTATTGAGCTTGGTACAGACAGCAAAAGCGGGCGGGTCCCCCACCCCAGGAATCCCCACGACACACCAGGGCCTGGCTGCCTTGAGCCCTGCTCTGGGCCCATCTCCCTCGATTCCTGGAGCCCCAGCGCTCCGGGTCCCTCCTTTCCAGTGAGGCCCCACTTCCTCTGGGAATCGGCTCTGTCCTGCCCATGTCCCTTTTGCCCTCCCTTGAGGGGTCCACTGAGCCCCCAAGCACTGCACAAGTGGCTGGATGCTCTGTGGGGTGGCCGTGTGCTGTCTCCCCTCCATAAGTGTCTCCCCCTGGCAGTTCCCAGGTGCACAGGAAACCCCATGGAGGCCGAATTGCTGGTGTTTGGGTCCCAGCAGGGGCTCAGCCAGCCTGGCGCAGAACCAGGCACTTTGGCAGGAGAAATGGGAACTATTTCTGGAGGAATTTGCAGACTGATGCAGGGGTAGGATCCCCCTCCCCTACCCCATGAGGAGCTCTCCCTCTGTAGAGGGAGGGGAAATTCCAGCCCTCTCCCACCCCCAGGGGAAACCTGAGCTGTCTGCATTCCCAGGGGGCTGAATTGGGTCATGGCTGCAGGGTAATACCCAGGGTGGGAAGCAATTGCCAGGGGATTTTGCTTTAATTGGGAACCCCAGCAGTCCCCTCCCTGGGGAGTGACACATGGTCACAGCTGCTGAACGTGGGACTGTGGCACCCAAGCCCCCCCACTGCCCGAGCCCGCTCCCCAGAGACAGCAGGGGCTGGGGTGCCTCCAGGCGGGCGGGTGGAGGGCTCATTTGTCCGGCATGATGTACACCTCCTCGCCGTCATTGGGTGCGGGGACGCTGCTGCTGTACAGCTGCTGGGTGTTGGCGTAAATGGGCTGGTCTCCGTGGCAGGTGTCGCTCTCCATGTAACACTCCTCGTCCACCAGCTGCTGGACTCTGCGACAGGCAGTGGAGAGGGCCCTGCGTTACCCTCCCGGTGTGGGGAGCAGCTCAGGAGCTAGTGGGCTCGGGCCTCTGCCACCTGCTCCTGCACTTAGCGCCTGGGGACAGCCAGTGCACCAGGGCAGTGCCAGCCGCAAAGGCTCCACCGCAGGGTCTGAATCCCCCCTGGGCTGGCTCCATTGACGGGGGTTAAGTGGAGAGAACTGGGCCGACGCGCGTTTATACTGCAGTGTCTGAGCGGTGCGCAACCTGCCACTGCCCCGGCGAGGCAGGGCCATGCCAGTAGCTCAGGGGGAGCTGGGGTGACATGCCCTAGGGCCTGCGGGGGGCTGTGGCAGAGCCCAGGTCTCCTGGCTAGCGCCCGGACCGGCCTTCCGCTCCATGTCAACGCTGCCCCAGCATGCATGGGAGGGAACGGATGGGGCCCCAGCTCCTGGAGAAGTGGCAGCCCTGGGGCCACGGCTCCTAGCACAGGAGAGTGTCACTCCCGTGCCTGGAGTCTGGTCACAAGCTTCTGGTCTTTTTATCCCGGAAACTGACTTTGTCGCAAGAATTTCTCTGTGGCAAATCCAGACAGCAGCTGCGGGGGCAGGGGTAGGTTTGTGGGATGTGGAATGACATGTGACTGGGGCGGGGGGGGGGGGATGGGATGGAGCGCCGTAATAGGGACTGAGGGGCAGGGACTGACTCACCCATCATGCCCTGAGGGTCACGAGCGAGGTGTTGTTCTCAAACCACCTCCCCAAACTTCCCATATTTGTTAATTTCATCGGAGGCTCTGTTTCACCATCCCGGGTTTCAGCAAAGCAGTGGGGTTAACCCCTCCCCTGCCAGTCAGGCCGAATCCCCTGGCCTCGCGGATTTGCCAAGGCAGTGCTGCCCTGGGGGCGGGGGGGGGGGGGAGGGGAGGAATTAGCCAAGACGTTGCTTAAAACCCTCCTCGGCTCAGATAAAACATCTCGGGTGAGACCAGAACCCAGCCTCAGCCTGCTGCAGCCCCAGACACATCCAGGTGGCTCACCCGGCTCTCGACGTCTGGCACGTTTCACCCGGACGCTGGGTGGTGCCTCCTTGGGTTCCCAGAGTGTTTAAAGGGTTAATAGCCATCCAGTGGAGGCTCTGTTTCTAAGGTGCTCTCTGGACTGAGCCCATGAGCCCAACCAGCCAGATGTGGCTCTTACCTTAAATAACCCAAACTGATTGATGAGCCCTTGGAGAGGAAGGCAGGTGGCTACCCCCTCGCTCACTCTATCTATCTATCTATCCATACACACCCAGCAATCTATCTATGCATCCATCTATCCATCCCCAGACTACATTACATCCCTCTATCTATCATTGCATTTTCCCCCTGCATGCAGCCTCCCAGGTTGCCTGCCCCGAGGGAAGGGGACCTAGGGCCCCGGGGATGCTGAGTCGGTGCTCACCTGTACTGCGGTCCCTTTCTCTCCAGACACTCGTATTGCCCTCCTGGCTGGGAGTAGCCAATGAAGACGTTCTCATAGTTGCTGGCCTGGCCGGGGCCCGGCTCTGCGTTGCGGCTGATGTAGCGTGGCTGGCCGCGGGCCACGGATGCGGTGGATTCCCGCTTGCTGTGGATGGCGGAGGCCTGTCTCTTCCTCCTGAGCAGGAGCAAGGCCACAGCCAGGCCCCCCGCCAGCAGCAGCCCGGCCAGCACTGAGCTGGTGAGGGCCACGCAGAGCAGCGCGCACAGGGGCTGGCATTCCTGCCTGTAGAAGGCGGTGACGTTGACGGGTCCCTCCTGCGCTGAGTGGCAATGGCAGGCGGGCTCCGTGCTGTTGGTGGGGCTGCTGCCCATGCAGTGGCTGAGGACGCTCGCCACCACGTCGCACTCGCAGTCGAGGACCAGGTGCAGCAGGCTGGAGGCGTTCTTGAAGAACTCAGTGGGCAGCCCCCGCAGCTGGTTGTGCTGCAGGTAAAGCTTCTTGAGAGTGCGCGCCTGGGAGAGGAAATCCGGGGGAAGGGTCTGCAGGCGGTTAAAGGACAGATCCAGCATCTTGACCGACCCCCCCAGCCGGGCGGAGCCATTGATTTCCCTGATGCCATGGTTGCTGAAGTTCAGACCTGTCAAAGTGTTGCTACTGAATTCCAGCCAGTCCAGGACCTCGCAGGAGCTTGAATTTGGAGACCCCAAGCAATGCGCCCAGCCGGACGGCACACTGCGCAGGAGGAGCAGGGCTGCCAGGAGTGCCAGCATCTTCCTAGCTGGGAAGCAGGACACAAGCAGGCTGTAAATGGGGGGCGTCGCAGCAGCGCAGAGGTGCGGGAGGCGAACCCCCCTTCGGTCCTATCTGCTCCACGCCCCAGGCAGGGCTGCTCCGTGCAGGCTCCCCCGCTGGCCAGAGGACGCTGTGAGGCCTCCTGGTGCATTATGCCCCAGGCCAGGCAGCACTAGCCCCTGCATGCTCATTATGCAAAGGAGGTGGCGGGAGGGAACAGGAGGGGTGGGGAGAAGTGGGGACTGCTCCCCTGTAGCGCTCTGGGTGCCCCCAGGAGCCCTGGCTCCCCTCGCCCCAGCCACGGGCTGTAGTCGCACTGGTCTACTGGGCTGTGGAGTTCCGCTTGGAGTGGGCGCCTGGCTGAAAAGTAGAGCTGGGGAAGCAGCTGCTCTGCAGAGTCACATGCCCTGGCTTTGTGGGGAGAGGAGGGAGGTGGGGGCGGAGAGCAGAGCTGAAGATGGTCGGGGCAAATGGGGCTAGAGACACGGCCTGAGCACGGGGAGCCGTGCAGGGCGGGGGGGGGTGGGGGTCCGCACTCTGGCTTGGCCTCGGCCCCATCCCTAGGCCCCGTTTTCTCTAGTGGACGACCATGCTGGGCAGAGGGGCAGCTGTTTTGCAGGGCTGGGGGTTGAGCGCCAGCCCTTTAGCTCAGCAGGACTCTCTGCAGACTGCCAGCCCTGGGGGCGCTTGGCGGAGGAGCCCGCGCCCGCAGGGTTACTGCTGCCCCCATGGCCCAGTCGTGGGTGTCTCCTAGGTGTTCACCGCTCAGGCCATTTGCAGGGAAGGGCCCAGCCGCGCCGCTGCCTCTGCTCTTCAGCACCACTGGCAGGGCCCCCCGTGCCAGCCTCTTGCAAGCTCCGGCTGAGGGGCGAGGATGGGGCCGCCTGGCCCTGCCCTACCGCGACAGGCTGAGGGCTTGTGGCCAACGGGCACTCCGCTCCCCAGAGGTCCTTCACACCTCCCCACGTAGAGGTGAGCCCGGGCACCCCGCGCTGCTCGGTGGCACAGGGCGAGAGGCACCTGCCCACTGGCTCTGTCCCCATCCTGCCCCATGGAGCCCTGCCCCATACCTGAGCTGTCGCCTGCCTCCCGCCCTCCGCTGCGTCTGCTCCTCTGCCTGTGCAACGCAGCAGCTGGACAGAAGAGAAACAGGCAGTTCCTCTCTTGCTGGCCCGAGGCTGTCACAGTGTGGGGGAGGGACGCGCTGTGGTGTAGCTAGAGAGCCAGGAGCGGGTTTGGGGAGCAGGAGGGGAGCCCTGCCCTCACCGGGCCATCCCGCGCTGTGTGCTGGCTCTGGGCTCCTCCCTTCTCTGCCACTCTCCCTTTGCTTTCGTTTTTCAGTCTGGCATCCCTCTGCGCGGGGTGCTGCCAAGTGAGGGGCATCTGCAGGGCCCAGGGGGATGCTTCATGGCCCCCGGGCAGGGCAAGGCCATGCCGTCCCGGGGCATCACAGCCTGGCCACAGGGCCAGGACAATGGAGATTGGAGCAGCCCCATCAAGGAGGGCTAGCTGGGGAGAGTCCCTGTTGGAGTGGGAGTACTGGGGGGCTCCCTCCCTCTGGAGGGAGGCCCCGCTGGGTAACATCACAGACCCTGCAGGACAACAAGGGGGAGGCTGGGCCTTTCGGCACCGCTGCGGGGTTACCCCAGCACTAGCCCAGGTGTGAAGGGCCTGCACAGAGGTGGAGAGGGCCCGAGCGTGGGCACTGCTGCCAGCCTGCAGGCGTGGCATGGAGCTCCCTTCCGCTGCCCCCAGGGAAGGGGGCCGGGCACCCGGGCTTGCAGGGTGTAGTACCCTGCCCCACCAGTTCCTGATGCCCAAGACGGAGCATGGCCCCTGCCTAGCCCACGGCCGCTGACTCTGCACCCTGGGCACAGGAAGGAAATGGGCCTTCCTCTGCTCCGATGTCACAACAGGCAAACCCCACCCCCAAGCAGGAGCAGATGCTGAGCCCAGGTTGGGTCTGAGGGCGCCCAGGAGTTGGTGAGGGGGAGGCGGGGGGCTTGGACCAAAGGGCTCAGGAGCCCCATGGGCCAGTGCACCCCCTTCCCCTGTGGCCCTCTCTTCCGGCCACAAACACCTGCCTTTGACCCTCCCTTGCACCATCTCACTGCAGACTCCGCCACCCCGCCCAGCTCCTCCCCGACCCCCCTCTCCCTGGGTGCTGTATGCCATGCCGGGCAAGGCCCAGTGCCCTGGAGAGCAGCCTCCCTTGGACTGTTGTAGGGATACACGGCCCCCTCTCCTAGCAGCCCCCACCGTGGGCACCACACACCTGACCCCTCCCAACCATGGGCCCAGACTCCTGCTGCCTCTGCAGGGCCAGTGCGAGATGCTCCAGAGCAGGCGTCAAGTGGTCCCCGAGCACCTGGCCTAGCTGGCCAGCAGGGCCAGCGTGGCCTGGCAGGGGCCGGAAGGGGCATGTCGCAGATCTCAGCCCTGCAGCCTCCGGCCTGGCTTGTCCCCTTCGTCGCGCCTTGCCAAGAGCCACACCCAGCATAGCCTACCCAAGCAAACCTGACTCCGGCTAGCCCAGGTAACCAGAGCAGGGCCGGTGAGCCAGGCGTGTCCCCAGGGACCCTGCTGGGCTAACCTGTCTTTGCTGCTGTTGTGCCCGGGCTAGCGAGACTCAAGCTCACTGGGGCAGGCTATGCTCCGCTCTGGCCCTGGAGACAGCCCCTTTGTCACTGATGCCAGACCCATCTGGAGTCTTCAGCCCGGCATCTCCTGTCTTGCAAGTCCCAAAGAGCCCCTGGCTCCCCTCCCCCACTCTAGCCAGTGTCTGACTCAGGCTTCACAGTGAATTGGGGAAGCAGGGCCAGGTGAAGCAAAGGCAGTTACAGTAAATGCAACATGCAGGGGAAAGCGCTGAAATCCCCCAGGGCTGCTGCCCGCAGGTGAGCTAGGTGCTCCCCTCTGCGCTCCAGGGGCAGGTTCGGCTCCCTGCTCCAAGCACGAAGCAAAGGGTCATGGAAACACGCCGTGCATTGGCTGCTTCCTTCAGCTGGCTCCAGCCTGGCTTCCAAGTGCACGCGGCTCTAGGGACTCGCTCACCCCCATGGCTGGCACCAGGTCTGTGCAGAGTGCCAGTGAGCCATGCTTTCCCGGCGCAGGCCCCACAGGGAGACAGGGCCATTAAGGCCAGAAGGGACCATCATGATCAGCTAGTCTGACCTGCTAAACATCACGGGCCCCAGAACCACACACCCCCACTCCCGAAAAAGACCCCTAACCTCCGGCTGAGCCACTGACATCCTCAAATCATGGTTTAAAGACTTCAAGTTAGAGCGAATCCACCACTGACACTAGTTTAAACCTGCAAGTGACCCGTGCCCCATGCCACAGAGGAAGGCGAACCCCCCAAGGTCCCTGCCAGTCTGACCTGGGGGAAATTCTTTCTCGACCCCAGATATGGCAATCGGTTGGACCCTCAGCATGTGGGCGAGACCCGCCAGCCAGACACCTGGGAGAGAATTCGCTGTAGTAACTCAGAGCAGGGGCGGTGAGTTATATGGGCCCATGGTGCCCGGGCTCCAGCAAATTCAGGGCCCAGGGGGCCCAGCTCCGCCAATGTTCGGGGCCAGGTCTCCTCCCTGGCCCCGCCTGCCGCCCCCATGTGTCTCCTCCCCCAAGCATCCCTGCCTGCCCTGGGCAGCTCCGCACTGCACTCCCTCACCGGCCACGGCTGCTGCACCTGCGGAGGGAGGAGGGGAGGAGGCACATGGCAGTGTACCCCCTTGGCCCCCCCGGCGGGCAACTCCGCGTTGACTCTGGGGGGAGCCTTATCCTGGCTGAACCTCCTGAACAGCAACCAGGGGGGACTCAGGTGAGTGGGGTGCCAGGGGGGCTGGGAAGGGGGCCGCCGTCCCCTCCCCCAGAGCTCACTGGTGCCGGCAGGGAGAGGGCTGAGGGGGAGTCCTCCTCTCTGGCCCCCAGCCCCAGGGCAACCTGCCTGCTGCACCCCAAACTCCTCATCCCCGGCCCAGCCCCATGCCCTGCACCCCAACCCTCTATCCCAGCCCAGAGCTTGCATCCAGCACCCAACCCCCCTCCTGCACCCCCTCCCCCTGTCTCAGCCCAGAGCCTGCACCCAGCAGCCAAACTCTATCCTAGAGCCCACACCCCTCCCACACCCAAACTCTCTCCCAGAGCCGTAGGCAGGTGGTGGGGGGAGGGGACAACTTGGACCCATTCTGGGCACCACCAAAAATTATAGAACCCTGCCACCCCTGACTCAGAGCCCTCCCCATCTAGTGCCCATCTCCGGCCATTGGAGACATTCGCAGCCAGCTGTCAGGGCTCGGCTGCACCCCCTCACACGATGCCTCGCGCCGCACAGTGCTTGGCTGGGCACTTTTATTTCCATCTGAGGGGCCGGCGGAGTCAAGGGCTCGCCGAGGACTCACTGAGGAGTGAGCTGGGGAGGCAGAAGTGGGCAGGAGGCCTGGGCGTTCCTGCTGCCAGTAAAGGGGAAGCTGTTGCCGTGAGGAAGGAGGGTCGGTCGGGGCACTGAGGGGAAATCCCAGGATTGGCCATATGCTGACTCCTTAATGAGTGACGTCAGTGTGAGCCACGAGCTCTGTGCCCACTGGCAGAGAGTGGGGGGGGGGCATAAGGCTGGCAGGGATCCCTGGGGTCCGGGACAGACAGACTCGTTCACGGCATAATGGCCCATCAGGTGGCTAAGGAAAGCCAGCATCACGCTGGTCAGCAGACTCTCTGCGGAGTTACCTGGGTGGTTCTGGCTCTGCACTGCCACCTGTCCTCTCTCGCTCTGTGTGGGAAGGCAGGTCACCAAAAGGTGGTCGCACACTTTGGGGTGGGGGTGCTTATCTCTCTGCCTGGTCGGGTGTAACCTGAGTCTTGTAGGTTCACCATGGACCCCCGTTTACTGGCGAAGCACGGTGCTAGTCAGTAGCTTGCGGGGGCTGCTGGAAAAAGCAAATCCAGGTGGGGACGGATTGGCTGGGGTGAAGACAGTGACCATGCAAAGCTGCAGCTGGCGAGTCGGCAACCCCCCCGGTTAGCCTTTGCCCGGGGGAGACAGGCTGCAGCAGGCCTGGGCTCCTGAAAGGCAGGGCTCCACCATCCTGCTGAGACGGCCTTGGGGTACACAGCCCCTTCTGGGCCAAGAGGCAGCTTGGTAGCTGAGTTTCGGCACCGGGTGATTTCCTGGGTCACCCTTTGTGTCCAATGGTTCCGGGGCTACTGCCGCATTCTTCGCTAACGAGCTGGAGCCGGGCTTTCCTGACGAGGGAATCCAGGTGCTTGGTGTTCCCGTGGAGCTGCGTGCGACAGGGTGACCGGGAACCTGCAGCGTCCCTTCCCTTTGGGCCACTCTGGGCGTGGCAGGTGGGTCGAGGGACACGGGGGCTGGCATGTGCCTAGCGCTGCCTACGCAGTAAGAGGGGAGAGCTCAGGGGGCGGAGGACGTGGGGACAGCCCAGGCTCTCTCACTCGAAGGGCAGGTGCCCCACAGCCGAGAGCTGTGCTAAAGCTTCCCCTACAACTGGGGCTTTAGCTTCAGGGACCCAAGGGGCAGGGCGGGATGTCGTTCACTGGCGGAGGGAGGGGGCAGGGCCTCACGCATACCACATTCAGCTGAGCGGGTAGCTGAGCGGGAGGGGCCCCTAAGGGCCCCAGATCCATGTGCCCAAAGATTCAGGGCACCTTGGCTGGGGAAGTGCCTGTCCTGGGACACTGGGCCTGGTTCTCAAAGCCCCACGGCTCCCTCCCGCTACAGCCAGTGGGGGGCAGGGGGGGAGAACTCAGCACCTTGCAGCAGCTGGCCCTGCTAGTGTGAGCACAGAGACATGCCCATGAGCATCCTGTGTCCTGGGGCTCCAACAGAACAGCCCCCCGCTTCACCCTGCCCCACTTCAGAGTCAGCTCGGGCAGGCAGGGTTGGCGGCACGGCTCCATGGGGCCCTCTGTGACGAAGCAGGACTGTTCTTAATGTTTCCTCTGAATAGTGTGGGGGTGCCTCAGTTTCCCCTAGGCAGTTCTTAAGTATCTAGGGGGTGGGTGTCACGGAGTCCCTGGGCGTGCTCTGGAACTGCTCCCCCTGAAGTCAGTCAGGACTCTGGGGCAGTCGCCTTTCTGTGAGCAGCCTGTCTGCAGGCCCTCCACAGCTTCCACCTTCCTGTCTGACCTCGCATTCACATCTGCCTTCCACACATCGCTCACGGGCTCCTGGGGAAGCCAGAGGGTCTGCACCCCAACTCCAGTCAGCGTGACTCTCAGCCACCAGTAAAACAGAAGGTTTATTAGACGACAGAACATGGTCTAACACAGAGCTTCATCAGAAACGGACCCTATGTCCATTTTGGGCAGTGAGCAACAACCACGTCTGCACTCCTCCATGTCCCAGCCACCCCAAACTGAAACTCCCTCCAGCCCCTCCTCCTCTGGCTTTTTCCTTTCCGCCAGTGGTCACCTGATTCCTTTGTTCTCCAACCCTTCAGCTCTCACCTTGCAGGGGGGAAGGGCCCAGGCCATCAGTTGCCAGGAAACAGGGTGTCGCCATTCTCTGTGTCCAGACCCTGCACACACCTCCCTCTAGGGTTCAATGATCAGACACCCTTACTCCACCCCCTAGATACTTAAGAACTGCCTAGGGGAAACTGAGGCACCCCCACACTATTCAGAGGAAACATTAAGAACAGTCCCACTTCGTCACATCTCTCCCCCCTTCGAGATCGAATGCGGGGTCACTTTAGCCGGTGACCTGGGGAGTTGAACGTTCCATGGTGCCCCCTCTCCCATTCCTTGGTAGGTTACACCGCCTTCCAGTTTCACCCCTCCCTTAGGTCAGGGTGGTCGATAGCACTCGCAGGCCCCATGTGGGAAGGTTTATGCAGCCTGCCCTTTGGCCACCCCAAGAATGTCTCCCATTGACCAACACCTTCTGCTCCCACTGGAGGTCCTGGGGCCTGGCCCCAGGAAACTCCACACAGACATACAGGTTGGGGTCAGGAGTGGGAGCCTCCACATCCCCAACCATCTGGCTGACGGAGTCTATGGCCTTGGGACCCAGCAAGGGAGCTAGACACCGGGGCTTTTCGC